ACATATACTTGTTCTTATGTTGTGTAGCAAGTTTGAGCTGATTCCAATAAAAATTGGATTTTTTACGAATTTTTAAAGTTACTCAAAAATCAGGCCAAAGTCCCTGTACTATAGTACAGGGTCTTCGGCCAAATTTTGCCAAAAATGACTAGGAGAGAATTCTCCATTTTTATAACTTTTTCTGATACATATACATGTTCTTATGCTATATAGCAAGTTTGAGCTGATTCTGATAAAAATTGGATTTTTTACGAATTTTTAAAGTTATGAAAAAAGCACGTACGTACATTGTATATACTTGTACATGTACTGTATTGTAGTTCTTGTGAGTTCATAAAGCATGCTCTATGGGAAATCCTGACATACATATACACATGCTAACAATTTTCTTAGGCTCTTTCATCGAGGGATTATTCTCTAGTTCTTGGGATGCCTGGAACTGGGAAGACGACCACCATTGCCTGTCTTGTTCAAATACTGGTGACCAGGGGCTACAGTGTGTTACTGACCTCGTTCACTAATTCAGCTGTTGATAATGTACTAATGAAACTGATAGAGAATGGTAAGGGAAGGCCAAATTTAGGAATTGATAAATTACTCTACACTATGTAGTACAGGGCACTGCAGGGATGTTTTGTTAATTTTTGTAGCTTTTGCTATTGGCAATAGCAATTACATGTATGTATATAATTAGCAATTATGTATATATATTATAGCAATTAGTAATTCCAATTAGTAATTCCAATTAGCTATAACTATTGCCAAATGTATGCCAATTATATGTATATAAATTGCCAAATAGCCTTACCAATTACTCTCCTTACACCTTTCCAATTCCAATAGCTCAAGACCAATATGTATACATGTATGTACATAGTGTGGGCATATGGTGTAGGCATTGCTTGTGTCTAAATTTTCCTAGCACCTCGCTATGTATATGTAGTTACAGTGTATGTACCCTGTACTATAGTGGAAGGTATTTTGTCAAATTTTTGAGCAGCTTTGAAAATTTTTTTTAAATTCCAATTTTGATCAGAAGAGAGCTACAATGTACTATACTGTCCAGTACTTATTAATAATTTTTTGTTGCTTAAGGTTTCAAGGATATCATCAGAATCGGCTCAATCGGGCGTGTCCATCCTCAAGTTAGTCCGTATAATCTTTCTGAGCTAGTGAAAGACACCTCCTCTGTACAAGAAATTAAAGATGTCTACCAACAAAAAGTAACTTTATTATAAAATTCTCCAATTGATAGCAGCACATGGACAATGATCACAACTTAAAATTTGTGGTTGCAATCATGCAGCTCAAACTTCCTAGAACCATGATAAGAACATCAGAAAATAAATGACAAAATGTACTTGCATTACTAACTGTCCTTATATCCTTACCATTTCCAGGTCCTGATAGGTGCTACATGTCACAGTGTTGATCACCCTCTCTGTTCCAATAGATTGTTTGATTTTTGTATTGTTGATGAAGCGTCTCAGATTCCTCTCCCCCTCTCTCTTGCTCCTCTGAGACTAGCGTCTCGTTTTGTACTTGTTGGCGACCATTACCAGCTGCCACCTTTAGTGAAATCGCCAATAGCCAAGTGAGGATTGTACATGTACATGTACATGTACTGTATGTGATTGCATTATTTAGAGAGAAAGGCTATGAGGAAAGTCTTTTTAAACGACTATCATCAGCTCATCCCTCATCTCTGACTTCTCTCACTCATCAACATAGAATGAACCGGTACTTTCTAATTACTAGCATTTCAATATTATTCCCTTTTCTGCAATTAGAAATATCATGGAGTTGTCCAACTGTCTCATTTACGACAACTTGCTTTGTTGCGCTTCTGAGGACGTTGCCGGGGCAACCATGTCGATACCAGGATGGAAATCTTCAGAGATTAAATTTGATTGGCTGGCTTATGCCGTTGACCCGAATAACAATGTTGTTTTTCTAAATACAGACAAAGTAATTAAATTATAAATCAAAATAAGTCAATCGTGATTTGCTTACTCTTGCAGTCCGGTGCTATGTTAGAAGAAAAGATTTCTGATCACATGTGCAATTTGTTTGAAGTTAATATAGTTGTGAGTATTATCAGGACTCTAGTACAGGTACATGATATAAGTAGTGGTAGTCTTTTTCTTTAAAATTGATTAAAAAGCTTTAATTTTTGAAATATTATTTGTGCCTTTTCTTATTACTTTAGTTAGGAGTAAGCCCCTCTGATATACTAGTAATTACTCAGTATAAGAACCAGCAGAGACTCATAACAAAGTCGCTACACGAATCTGAGACAAGTTCTCAAACCAGTTTTGAGACTTGTACTTCCAGTTTCATACCAAGGAATGAGTATCGGTCTGTGGAGGTGCTGACTGTCGACAGGTGCCAGGGAAGGGATAAGAGTTGTGTGCTGGTGTCATTTGTTAGGAGCAACACATCAGGAAAGGTCATTTTGCTATGCATGTATATTTATTGTATACAGTATACAACATAAATTACAAAAACAGGCAGTATAAGAACACTAATAGTTTCCAACATACATGTACATTACATTCAACAATGTTGCTTTCAGCACTTGCCCAGCCTTTGATGATGTGGTCAAGCATTGAATAGGAAACCTTTTTATTCCTTTTAACAAGTTTGAAAGAGATATCACAAGCTGGCAACATGTTGGGCCTGTAATGTACATGCATGTTGGGCTTAATAATCATAAGTAGATGTCTCAGCAGCTTTATACAAGTATTCATAATACGAGTACTTGCTACAAATCCATTGCTATTTTGCTTTCATTAGGTAGGCCAGCTTCTGCTAAACTGGCAAAGGATCAATGTGGCACTGACCAGGGCCAAACACAAACTGATATTCATTGGGTCTTGTGACACACTCTCTCACTCGCCTCACATCTTGAAACTGATCACCCTCATCAATCAGCATGAATGGATGTTCAATATAGATACTGTTGATTTCAAAATCTCTCCATCAATATGATTTGTTGTCATAATAAGTTTTTAATGATAATTTTTAATAAACAAAAGACATAAGGAATGGCAAAAATAAATTAATAAAGAAATAGTAATTATATAAGCTGCAGTGGTGGTCAGAATGTTTTTGCTGTACAGCTTATTTCGTTGAGACTGCAGTTTTCACTTGGCCCATGGCACTGTCAACAGCAAAGTCGGCTATTTTTCGAAGCTGTACTTGATCGACTTGTGCATATTTTTTAACTTCAGCTTTAGCATTTGCAACAACCTGTGGTCTACGCTCTCTCAGAACCTTCTCGGCAGCAGTTTGTGCAGCTGTAGTCCCAAGCTGTGCTGCTTTAGCCTGCTCACTTTTCAGCATCTCTCTGGCCTTTTCAGGTCCAACTGCAGGAATAAATGCTTCCGCCCGTATTTTAGCTTTGACCGAGTCCATGTGATCTTGGGCTGCACTCTTGAAAGCTTCTTTAGCAGCATCTTTCATGGCTGGAAGGACAACAGTCTGCATGCTGGAGTAGATATCTCTTATGATCCTGACTTGGAGGTATGCCGTTATGGCATTTGTAGAAGCAAATCGAGTGTATTTTACACCCACGGCATTCACCCTTGCCCTTCCATTGCGGAAAGTGGAGATGGCGTTGTTGATTGTTACATTGTCATTTTGTGGAGGGAAATCTTGGATTTGTAATCCATTAGATTTTTCTTTGATCTTGAATACAGCCAGAGCATCAGCGAAGGCCATAAACACGTTATTAGTGGCAACAATGACAGCTGCTACATTTAGGTTCCCGACATCAGCACTGAGAGCAGTCTGAGCATTATTGATCACCTACATGTATATAAAGAAAGAAAATATTAGATAGACTAGCTAGTATAATAATTCTGTGACTTACTCCTCTCATATCAGAAAAGGCATAGAAGAGCATGTACATTACTGGAATGCTATGTGCAGTGCTGTTGATAGTGACGGTGACTGTCCCAAGGTCCGTTAGCTGATCTTTGTACGTAGACCATTGCTGAGTCCAGCTTTGGATTGTATTTTGAAGGGTCGATACAGCATCTCCGAGATGCTTCATGTCGTCCTTCTCATTTGCTGTCAGCTGATTTGCCCAGTCTGGTGGATCATCGGAGTCAATGCATACTTCAACAATGTTAGCAAGTTTCCCTGCTAACCAGTCAAGCCCCATTACAATACCAGTCCCATAAGCGAGGACCTTTCCCACCATCTTCAACTTGGAGAATTTTGAGCCGCTCTTTTCAGCCAACTCTGCTGCTTCTGTCTCGTTCTGGAGTTGACTTATTTTTACCGAAGCCTCATACAATGATTTAGGGATCTCCTCGGCGACCTCCGCTGGGTTTTCTGGTCCAAAGAGCTCCTTTGATACGTCTTTTGCAAAATCTGCTGTAAGTTTTTCTTCAGAAATCACGTCGTTAGAGATTCCGTTTCCTATTTCATCGGCCATTTCCATTGACTCGACCAAGTTCACCTTCAATTTATTACCACTTGCCCACGATTCTTCACTCATAGCTTCTTCAGTTTCTAAGTCCACATTCAGACCAGCCGACATTTCGTCTCCCATGGTTACCAACTCCTCGTCTACTTCTTCAAACGCAAGTTCAAAATTCATCTTTTCTTGTAGTCTATAGAGATACTGCCTCGGATACTGCTTTCTTCACTTGTTTGATATCTTTGTTTGCTTTGCTTTGAATGGCTCTAAAGGTTTCTGTGCCCCTTTATATGGGAACAAAGGAGCCTCAGTCCTCATTAGTGCATGCTTGACACCCACCATCATATCCTCTACACTCTTCCTGTCAGGATGTGGGTTCAAGCGAAAGCAGGAGACACAAGGGCTCTTGTTATCACTTCCTAATACTATTCAAAGTCTCTGATTACATTCATAGCCTTATAACTTTATTCATATTCTTTAAAAAATTAATTTAAAATGGACTTTATTCTTACTGAGTAGTGAGTACAATTATCAAACAGTGATGCTCTGTGACATAAAATGTGATGTCATGTAGGTTATTATGTAACCAGTTAATGACATTCACAAAATAAATTATAAATAATATTGAAAAATCTTCAATATAAATTATTGAAAAATCATTTTTAAAATGCTAATCCTCAATTTTAAGTACATCTAGCATACAAAATTTCTGTCTACAGAGAGGACAAGTGGCATATCCTCCCATCCATGTATCGGGTCTGTTCTTGTCTTGGCGACTAGCATACCATTTGCTCATACAGGAGAGACACCACATTGGCTTGCAGTTGCAAGACTGACACGAGGTTTCCTTTAAGAAAGTAAAAATAATTTATCAGCAAAACTGAACCAATCCATTATTATTGTGTTTATATGAGTCATGGCCATTTTTTAAAAAGCAGTAATTAAGTAATTGAGCACCATTTAAAAAACGCCAAAATTTTGAAAAGTACCTAAGGCTATAGTCCATGGTTTTTTCTAAAAAATGGCTCCGAAATCATCCCAAATTTTTATTACATTTTCTTATACATATTGATGTCCTTATGCTGTGTAGCAAGTTTGAGCTGATTCCAACTTCAATTTTTCGAGTTACGGCCATTTAAAGAAAACGCCAAAATTCTCAACAATACCCAAGGCTATAGCCCATGGTTTTTTCCAAAAAATGGCTACAAAATCAACCCAAATTTTTATTACATTTTCTGATACATATTGATGTACTTATGCTGTGTAGAAAGTTTGAGCTGATTCCGACTTCAATTTTTCGAGTTACAGCCATTTAAAGAAAATGCCAAAAATTTTGAAAAGTACCCAAGGCTATAGTCCAGGGTTTTTTCCAAAAATGGCTCCGAAATTACACCCAACTTTTATTACATTTTCTGATACATATTGATGTACTTATGCTGTGTAGCAAGTTTGAGCTGATTCCGACTTCAATTTTTCGAGTTACGGCCATTTAAAGAAAACGCCAAAATTCTCAACAATACCCAAGGCTATAGCCCATGGTTTTTTCCAAAAAATGGCTCCAAAATCACCCCAAATTTTTATTACATTTTCTGATACATATTAATGTCCTTATGCTGTGTAGAAAAATTGAGCTGATTTCAACTTCAATTTTTCGAGTTACAAGCATGGCCACTTTTCAGTAGCAAATTTTTAGAAAAAAGCAGTTAAAGACTATACCATTATAATGATACCGTATAGAGGTTTTTTCAAGAATAATAATTTTCGCAAATGACCCATATCCAGAAGTTTGCGGAAATAATTTTCGTGAATTTCCACTATTCTGCCATCTTGTACTGTATTAAATTAATTTTCAAGGAATTTAATTTCACAAATCTTGAAATATTCGCAAAATTTGTTATTCTCAGAAAAAAACCTTGCTATATGCGGCATAATGATTTTTTAAAGGCTCCAAAATGACCATCCTCCTCTCCATTCTCATCCTTACTCCAGTTGCTGTGCAGGTCTTCATCAACTTAACCTCTGGCATGCTTTGTGAACAGCCCAGACAAGGTTCCAATGGCTAAACACAGGATAAGCATATAAAGTAATGCACAGCTACTACACCCTAAACACTCACAAGACATTCATTGGGTACACTGTATTTTCCATTCCTCTCCACTTGTTCAGTGAAAGCGACTAGAAACTGCTCATCAAGAGTCTGCCTGATGACTATTCTCCTCGCCACTTGAATGGGCAGTGTTAGCTTTTCTCTCAAGCTACCATATATTTCAGATTTTAACCGCATCTCTATAAAAAGGTAAATGCACATACTGCGTAATGCATATCTTTTCCTTCTCTCTCTCTCTCTTACTAAATGAGGTTATATGAGGCTCAACGCTAGATACCTAGAATTAATGAGATACCATTAAAAGTAACTATAATTATAAAAAAGAAGGTTCTACTTGTATGGTAAGGAACTGAACTGGTCTTCCCTCAACGTCTATTCTTTGCTCATCAGTAGATGATACTCTATTAAGGTTGGCAATCCACTATGCAGCATTGTTGCTTGCAACTTGTGGTAAAACCTTTGATGTGGTTGTGCAACATCAGCCAACATGTTGCATGAAGTAGAGAGACTCAGCTTCATGCAACATGTTGCACAACCACATCAAAGGTACTGGCAACAAAGTTGCATAGTGGATGCCCACCTTTAGGCATACAAATGAAAGATTGTAATCTTAATGATAAAGTACATGTATAATAATACATACATGTATGATATCTACTTTAGTTCTACATTGTATATGTAAATGTACTTTATACAGTATAGCAGGAAATTTTGGAGAGAATTAAACTTGACGAATTTGGCGTTTTGATAGCCATTCACCAAAATAAAAATCCACCATTTTGAGCCATTATACGCATGCTCAATGGCACGTGGCCACTAATTCGCAAAATTAAAATTCGCCAATCACCAATTTTTAACAATTCACCAAGTTTAACTCCCTCCAAAATTTCCCGCTATGCGGTATGTACTTTTATATATAGTTTATACATGTAAGTACTTTAGTTCTGCTTCACTCTGTCGTATTGCTTGTATTGTGTGCACGCCACATTTCAATATCCAGGAGTCGGTAATGACAATCTTGTATCTGCCAACATCTGATGATGGTACAAAGGTCAGTTTATAGTATAGTAATGTACCATAAACATTGAAAACCACATTAAAATTACCTTCCCCCCCCCCCCATTGAATGATGTAATGATTTCTCACTTACCTGCCACGAATTTGTCTATGCGTCTATATTCTGCATTGATTGAAGATGCTACTAGCCTCCAGTTGTTACTATATTTAGACAAAACCTTACCACCACCGTGTTACTATATTTAGACATTTAAATCAATCATACTTTTGCTAGTGGATGAGCACTCCATTGTTTTCGAGAGTGAGCCACGCCCACAGACACACCCACTAAAATACTGACAAACGAAAGCATGAGGAGTCTTTGTACAGTTGGCGGAACGTCCCAAAAAAATAACTAAAAATAATATTACATAATATTAACTGTCACGATAATATCATAATAATTACTTACTATGTTAAAATGTGGATACACAAACTGGAGCCCAATCGTATAAATAAGAGGAAGAAAAGAATGAATAACAATGGCCCCTGTGCATCTTCTCATGTGGTACCCGATGAAATCTATGTCCTAATAAGAAGTGGAGGATTTAATTCTGATTCTCTGCCATATTTATTTATTTATACTTGATCTCCATAGTAGCGTGAGAAGAGAGAGGTAAGGGTGAGGCCTTCACTTCGTATCTCTTGAGGCATGGACCCGCTCACCTCCAGAAAGGAATAAAAACCAAAGACTAAAGTGTACAATACTATGGTAGCCTCTGCCGCCATCTTTATTTGTCCGCAAAACAAGAAGGCGTGGTTTTATACTTTCGGCGCATTATAAAAGAAAAAATAATAATCAAAAATATTTGAGATTTTTTATTTATGATGTGATAATGTGCAGAATTAGAAGAATAAATCACTGTCATAGTTCAAGAGAAACGCCTGTTGGATATTTTCATGCACAAAAATAGATCTATTCATTTATCCTTCATTACCATTCTCCTTAAATAAATCTGGTTCACTTCCCGAGGTAACTAAAAGGTTAGTCATTGACTCTGAGCTGTTTTTTAGCTGTACTAGCATTGAAACTGTTTCTGTTCCATCTTGTCCATTTGCTCTGTTAGGTACATCAAGTTCAGCTCTAATCTCTGATGAATTTGCAGCTGGCTCTGCAATGATTTCTCCTTTGCCTTTATTTGCTTCAGATTTGCTTTTATCCTCCTTAGTCCGGTTTACTCCTGATTCAGAGATTTTGGAATCAGCAGGTATTGAAATCTCAATGTCAGAGAGGCTGATATCAAGCTCGTCCATGCTTATTATTCTTTGCCCCTTACGCGGTAATAAGCCCACGTGCTAACACGTGGCCTCACACCTATATTAAATAGTTTTTACCACGCCTTTGGTAGATTCAGGATGTTCCTTTGACCTTCCTTAATTATTTCCTCCATTCTCCACTCTATTTTGTCATGCCTCATTTATATATATATACAGTGTGAGCCCCGGGTCTTAAGTTTATAGGTCTAAGCATAGCAGAGATCAAGTTTGAGCTTACGCAACAGATCCTTATCTATGATAATATAAATCATAGTATAAATCAACCAGGTCTCTGACTCTGTCTTTAAGCAGCCCTGAAAATGTCAAGAGTTTGGCACTTCTCAACTGTGTCTCTCTTATATTTAGTCTTACAATTTTCTGCTGCAATCGCTGGAGACTCCTTTTCCGTCGCACTGACAACTAGACAAGGCCCGAGGGGAAACAACTTTTTCCTCAGATGCCAAAACTTGACGAGGGCCAATTTCGGGATTTTCACTGTTCTAAGTGAACCAACGTTCTATAGAAACGGCCTGGAGTTTAGCAATGATGACTGCATGAAAAACCTAAGTCTTTTCAGCAATGGAAGCACAGCAGTTCATATCACTCCTCCCTGTGAGGGATACATACAGTGTGGAACAAATACCGTCCTCTCGCCTCCTTTCAAACTTTATGGTAAGTAGATTTATGTTATTACAATTACGACTACAATAGTGTAGACATACTGTGCTGTATAATTAATTTTTATTATTTTTTGTATATCTATTACCAAGGAGAATGCTAATTGCTTATAGGAAATGTTGTGGTAAAACCAAATTAGCATAATAGTAACAGCTTGTGAGGCAATGTATGAATGGAATTATAGATATTCTAACCACAAATATTCTCTAATTTGTATAGCTTACCCAGAATTGTTAAATGGAGCTGGAACGATGAGCGTTCAAGCAATAGAAAGGACTAATGCTACCCTTCCTTGCCACATGAGTGTATCCAGGCTAAACTCACTAACTGTGACGTGGTACAGGAACAAGAATGGTCACTCAATATTGGTGACCAATGGCCTCATCAGCAGTGAAGACTATAGCCTTACCTTGTTCAATGTAACTAACAGAGATGCTGGGCTCTATTTCTGCAGAGCAGTAAATAATCATTTA